AATGAAATTCGATGTAATTTAATTATTTGTTTAAAAGCCTTACACATCTTTATTAAGGAGACTTGTTGACAAGTTTAGTGTTTAAACAGATATTATTTGTAGAATTATTTCAAAAAATATCTGGCCATTTGGTAACGATGATAAAGCAATGGTCAACTAATCTTGACTACAAATATTTGGGAAAGATTGCGCAATATTGATGGTGGTTGGTGACGACCGGATGGCGTCATGGTTTGTGTAACGGACTGTGCTATTTCAAAGGTCGCGGGTTCGCTTCCCGCTCAAGTGAAACATTTGTGTGCATTCGTTCGCGTGGAATTTTAAAAGCGCTGCCTGTGTTCGATTCCCGGACCAGTCAAAATTTTATAGGATTTTTCTGAGAGAAAAAATAGCCTTAGTTACTCCCTATATAGACAGCTACTTGTTAGTAAAATATTATCAAAATCGGTCTAGCCGTTTTGAAGAATACCCGGCACAAAAAGACAGACAAACAAAAAAACTGGTTTTTAGGCATAGGTACGAGTATCGTGCAAATAACCGTGTAAGCATGAAAAAAACAAGAATTTTCACATTAAAATTTGAGTGTCACTTAAATTTTAATTATTTGTATAGGATTAACTATATCCAAAGCAGTGCAAAAGACCAATGCTCTTTAGTAATAAAAAAAAAGTGTAATCCTTAGCAGGTCCGTTTGTTTACACAGTACTACTAAGTCTTGTAATATATTTAATATTCAAAGGTATACAAGTATTTTTAAATACAATATGGCAACATTAATTCTCAAAACAAAGGTAATTTCTATGTTTTAAAATTCAAGTCGCGTGTCAGAATCTTCTAACGACTATGTAATTATAACAGAAGTGGTCCTGTTAAAAAATAAATAAATTTCGTAAACGATACGTGAGCTAACTGCGTTAACAGCCACGGTTGCCTACTCCTAAATTAAGATCATTTTCGTGAATGTAATAAAAAGGAAGTAATATTATTTGAAAAAAAATCGAAAAAAAAATCGATCTAAATGGCGTGCAATGGTAGAGGCCTATGTCCAGCAGTAGCTGATGATGAGGATGATGATGAATATTATTTGCTCGGTTAATGTCACTGAATGTCATGAAAATTGTGCAAAAGATTTTTTTTCTTTCTTTTTAAGGGCACCTGAAATTACTAGTTATCCCGGTAACCCCCCCCCCCCCTCCGCTAAGCTTAATTGCTTTTGTTAGGAGTGGGTTCACGTCAGTAGTGTACTGGTCAGAATTCAAACCCACGCCCTCTTGATCGTAAGTCCAATGCCTTAACCACTAGGCTACCGCCGCGTATTGATTTTATTGATTATATTCTATGAAATATTAACTTTAATAAATAAATAAATTATTAATATATATTTTTTTTTAATTTAATTATTTATTTTTAAAGTGGATATATAAATAAATATTCTGTGAATATTTCAAGCGTCTACCTGTTCCCGTTATTAATATCGAGTTAAAAAATCATGTTTGTTGAATGGGAACCCCCTTAAATATTTTTTTATTCTGTTTTTAGTATTTGTTGTCATGGCGGCAACAGAAATCCATCATCTGTGAAAATTTCAACTGTCTAACTATCACGGTTCATGAGATACAGCCTGGTGATAGACGAACAGACAGACAGACATACGGAAGGACGGACAGCGGAGTATGGAACCCTAAAAAAAACTAATGGTAGTCTTCTTTCTTTCAAGATGATTGCAGTTTTTTTCTTGATTGCATTCAAGCTTTAATTTAGTTCCAATTGTTCTAAACAACTATCACTATTTGAATATGCAAAATTAAAAAAATACCTTACAATTAGTTTAAGTCTAATTTCAATTTTTGTTCATTAATAAAGCGAAACCTCCATCTGCTGCGAAAAAACTCTTTAAGTAAGCGAATTTGAATTGATACAGACCACTTACTCAATAGAGGATTTTATGAAGTTTAGAATTATCAATAATATCATACGATAGTTTTAGACCAACAGATTAAAGTAAAGACAAGTGTTTCACCATCAAAAACATCCAAATTCGAACAGCCTTCATTTCATCCTCCTATATGTTATGTATCTACCATGTACCCTTTTTCTTCCCACGTCCCAATTTTATCTCCGAAGGGCTAGACAGACACAGAGACACAATTTTTTGTCTTACTTGCGTAATATTTGACAAGCTTCTTGCCGTCAAACGCCCACATTTATATCTAAATAAATATACTTCAAATATAACCGTGTGGTGCGGATTAAGAATACAGTGTCACCACCCCTATTCGTCCCGTGGGTGTTGTAAGAGCCGACTAAGAGAGCAAACTGTGCAAAACCACAGCACTGCAATTAGAAGGAAAACTTGAAACAAACCCTATGCCAACCCGTCTGGCCAGCGTGGTATAGTAGGCCAAAACCTCCATTGTTAGGAGAGGCCTATGTACAGCAGTATACTATTAGGGGCTGTTGATGATGATGATGATGAAATATACTGTTATGTTTCTGAATGTATTCAGAACAAAATAAATAATCGTGATCACACTATATTTGTCCTGGGTGGGTGGACTTAGCAACCACAATCAAACCACCAGACCAATAGTTGATATGTTTGATTGATTTGGAGAGTAAAATTTTCTGCTAAGACTAACTTTTTATGGTATAAGGGAGCAAACGAGCAGACGGGTCACCTGCAACTCAAAAGTCACTAGTGCATTGCCGCCTTTGGAGTCCCTCCCGCTCGAGTCAGCGGGAGAGTGGATTTGGGCTCAGGTAACTCACCCAGGGAACTTTATCCATCCTAAACACGTTTAGAAAATAAAAAACATAAATATTTCCATCGACTGAATCCGACCCAACAAAATCCGATATGTATAAAAAGTTACTCTAACTATCCAACGATTCACAAATTCACTGCAGTTAATGTTCGAAAGGCGGGGCTTGCAGTCGTCTATTACCCGTTCGGGTCACCCACTTTAATTTACAGCCATGCTCTAAGGCTGCCCGTAATGTTCTCATACAGGATTATGTCTCATCCACCAGTATTATAACGGTCCAAATTGATTTACAATAGCTAGTACTAAGATTTAGTAAGCTTAAGTGTTAATCCTAAGCTCAAAGATCAATGAGGTTTATTTAATGTATATTGTACAATTGAAATTGGACTGCGTTTGATGATAATTAGTTTATAGGGTGACTACAATTACGCTTGTGTTGTTTTTGTATCTATTTATACACACAAAGTTTCAAAAACAATTCTATTAAGCAGTCAAGAAGTTTTATTAGTCAAGTACACTAGTAGCCCAGTGGCTCTAAATTGAGTGTTTTGCCTCTAGATGCATACCGTGGCAGAGCCATGCTTCGGCACGGCCACACAGAAAACCGGTGTTAAGCAATTCTTTCGTTGCCTTTCACTGAGTGAGTGATGTTACCGGAGCCCAAATCCCCCCTCCCGCTGACTCGAGCGGGAGGGGGGATTTGGGCAGTAACGCACGCACGCATGGGCGGCGGTAGTTGCTTACCATCAGGTGACCCGTCTGCTTGTATACTATAGAGGCAAAACGATGTTTTGCCTCTATAGTCGCTCAAAAACAGTTCTCTGAGCGACTCCAGAGGCAAAACATCGTTTATGGTTAGTGAATAATTTGTCAAAAGTTTCTCTAAAGTAGTTTCTGTAAACGGATACCCTGAGTAATAGAGCTTACAACTACAGCTTCCACAATATTTCCCAATATCACATATGTAAAATATTAACAAAAAGGAGAAGGCAGTAATGACACCGATTTATTTGCTAAAGATGCAACAAGAAGAAGTTTCAAACCTAACACTGACGTGTGAACTTATTCCAGCTTTTTTAAGGTTGTTGCAGATGGTTGAACTCAAGTATTTAGGATCCTGTGCGAACTCGTGGGTTGTTGAATAATTTTTGGAACTACTCTATACTATCAAAAATACTTTCTGGATACTTGATATTTGGATTGGATTTCTTGGATACTTTAAGTTCAATAATATCTTGCTTCGTGTATCAAAAAGTTCTTATCCGCTTTGATGAGTGTGTTCACGATTTTGTATTTTTAATCACATATAGGGAAATAAATTCAAACATAATTATGACACCTTTCACGTAATAAGTTCTTGAAAACATGTTACTAAGTGATTATATAAGGGTTGAAACTTTGCTGTTTTCTGATTCTTTTACTTTTTTGTTCTAACGCCAGATGGCACGTCCTTTCAAAAACTGCTATCAGCTATAACATTTTTGACGTTTGAAAGAAACTAAATTCATAATAAAAGGTTTGTTTTGCTCCGTGTAAATACATCATCATCATCATCATGTGTACTCATCAACATCATCATCATCAACAGCCTTTAATAGTCCACTGCTGGACATAGATCTCTCCTCAGAAAGGAGGTTTTGGCCTACTATTGGCCGTTACGTTAGTACTGGTATAGAGTTTGTGTTGAGTTTTCCTTCTCTTTGTAGTGCTGTTGCCCTGCGTAATTTGCTCTTACGACATCCACGGGATGAATAGGGGTGGTGACATTCCGTATTCTTAATCCGTCACCACACGGATAACTAATAAACTGGAAACGGATAACAGAGACCAATTTTATTGTATTAATTAGTTAAATAGCGCCGAACCGTAAAAAAAGTAAAGGGAAGAAAAAGTATGATGATCACGATATTTGTAGTAAAAGTCAGTTTACGCTGGTAATCCTCTTCAGTGGGTTTCTAATCTACAATCACAAAGCAGTCCCACGCTCAAACAATTAAGCTATTATGAATTTCGAGATTCATAAAATTAAAATTATTTGCAATTACAATACTTTATTTTTCAAAATAAACTCATATTGTATTAAAATCATATTTACAATGGTTAATGCCAACACCAAATATTAAAAATTTAAAATAATATTAATAAACTTTTCTGCCTACTGCAGACGGAAAAAAGACGTAAAAATAGTTAAACAAAAATTAAACGAATCACTCTTTAAGGTAATAAACGTTGAAATTATTGTGCACCTGAAGGTTGTCTATTTTGTAAAGAAAAAGACTCTCGTAGTGATTTTCGATGCAATGCTCTAGAATGGTCCATAGTAGACGGCAATGCTACATATTTAGTCTCCGGCAATGGATAACACAAAAGTGCTCCTAAAATTGCCGATACGCCAAAAATTGTTCCAGCTACAGTTTGATGTAATGAATTAACAGGTGGTGCAATAATCATCCCTATTCTAGAAAGGACAGACAACACGCCTAAAACAGAGTTTCTAACTCCAGTTGGGAATAGTTCCACACCGTACAAGAATATTACTATAAAAGATATGAAAAAACAAGTGTTTGAACAAGATGCAAGTACCATTTTTGTAATTTTCATATCAGGAGATATGAATATTACTGCCAACATAAAAATACCTGCAAACATATTAGATAACATTAAGAATAATCTTCGACTCAAAAATCTCAACAATAATATTGAAATTAATGTTCCTGGTATAAGGAATGCTCCTGAGATTGCCACGTTACAATGTATGTCTCCACTCATACGACCAATATATTGAGATACTCCATAGTAACCCATTCCGCATATTAAATATATAGCAGACATGCTCAAAAAATTTACAAGCAGCTTCTTGTATTTGAAGATTTGGAAGAAATTCTCTTTGTTGCGGGCAGTTTTTGGTAGAGCTGCGCGATATTGTTCCATTTCTATTCGTATGTTGTCGCTAGTAGATGTATTATTACTGTAAAAATATTATAAATACTTTTAATAACTTAAAACTCACACAAAATTGGTTATTTTTATACACGTTTTTATATTTAACACGGTTCTGAGGTAAACTACCCATTGGAGGAGCTACTATTTGTCCGTTTAGACGTCAAGCCTTTGCTAAATTACGGCCTCCTCAAGGCCAGTACTTTTCCCTAATAGAACCCAGAAGTAGTTGTGGTACTTATTGTTCTTTAGGGTATTGTTTTGCAGTAATTTTCTATTGTTTAATTTTTTGACGTGACAACGTCTTATAATTCGATGGAGCCGGCTGCACGCACGAAAAAACATGACTCATGCGGCGTTACCTCGCTCTGAGGCGTTCCATTTAAGGCATGAAGTGCAAGCGAGAGCGCGGAACGAGCGACAAAGAGGCACAATCGGCCTCCGCGTTCGGCAGCGTTCGACATCTGTCTAACAAATAAAATTAAAATTTTCTTTTGAAAAATGCAACCATTCCATTAGTATTTTCTTATGACGTTGTCACGTTCAACTATCGTCAGTAAACCGACTTTACAGACAACCGATTTTTAATGGGGTTTGCGATATCTCATAGTATAATAAAAAATGTTTTAAATAAATAAATTTTGATATAATTTGATTTTGTAGTACATAATTTTCTTTTGGGGTATTGTTTTTCGGGCATGCTCTTATCGCGGCTGTAAGATCCCATATGGAGGATTGGTTCGAGAGGCGTCACGGGACCCTCTCATACCGGCTGACGCAGGTGTTCATTGGGAAAGGATGCTTTGGGAATCACCTGTGTCTGCAAGGAGCCACGCCTGAGCGCTACCACTGCGGTGGCCGGACCATGGACACGTCGCTCCACACGCTAGCAGAATGCCGGGCGTGGGTGGAGCAGAGGCGTGACCTCGTGGCGGCCATCGAAGTGGGAGTTCTCTCGTTCGAAAACATAATTGCAGCCAAGGCACTCTCTCTCCGCACCGCACTCTGCCGTCGTAAATAACTGTTATACTTACAACTTATCAATCTTCTTTATGACTTCAGCTGCTTTATCAATTTTACCACTGTCCATCAGCCATTTCGGCGACTCGTGTATCAACAGCCCCGAGAGTGCCACAACAAACATTGGAACAGATAAAGCCAGTTGCAACTTATTATAATTCCTTAACAAATATGATACTCCAGCTAAAGTTACGTGGCCGATTGTTAAAGGGATATGATATAGTGCTGCTACTATATCTCTGTACCTCGTACCGCAGTATTCTATTATGTATACAAAACCAGTGACAATGGCCCCTCCAGTGCCTATTCCTTCCAAACATCGCATAATTATGTATGAAACGGCAGTCGGCATGACGCTGACGAGGCATCCTGCTGTAGCCACACAAAGACAGCATAACGAAAACATTAAGAGGCGACCATACCTGTAACAAATAAAATTATAACTAAATTTAATCCGGCGTTTAAATCAGGTGCTCTATATTTATTACGGTATAATTTGCTACACAAAGAAAACTTTGAGGTGCTTCTTTTAATTAACTGGAAATGTATAATCCATCTATATCATAGTGTCCGTGTAGTGACGGATTAAGAATACGGAATGTCACTTCATTACGTGGGTGTCTTAAGAGCCGACTAAGGGCACAAAACAACGCACACTGCAAACAGAAGGAAAACTTGACACAAACCCTATACTAACCCGTCTGGCCACGTGGTATAGTAGGCCAAAACCTCCTTTCTGAGGAGAGGCCTATGTCCAGCAGTGGACTAACAAAGGCTGTTGATGTGATGTGTGTGATGTGTGATGTGCATAATCATTTATCTATATTTTAAATTTACTTATTTTAGTGAACACTTCGGTGTTGCCCTATTGACATTTATTAAGTAAAATCATATTGTAGCATGTAAAATATTATTTGTATTCTATTTACTGAAAAATATTTACGCCTCTTTAATACATGCTCTTCTTGGTATATCTAAATACTCCGGGCTGAGTTGTTTGTTTGTACTCCAACAATTGATTCTTGCAAATACTTTTCCGATCATTAGGCTATTCTTTGAATTGGCAATATCCTAATTCCTTTTGATGACGTATATGAAAGGCTCAGAACAGATTAATACACATTTTTTCATTTCATGGATAGAGAATAATTTAGAAACTTACTTATCGGCCATAAATCCAAAAACCAGGGATCCAATCAAGGTGCCCACATAAAGCATACTCTCCGAGAAGCTGATCACCCATGCTCTATCACATATCAAACCAAATTTTGTTTGAGCCGTCTCTGTAAAAACACTTCTGTTCCAAGAAGGATTATCACAAGGGCATCCTCCGTGTTCTTTTTCTATGGACTGTTGAAGGTTATCACATTGAAATTCCATCGGTGGACTAAGGAATATCAAACTCATTAGATGCCAATACAGTGGTATTTTAGCTAGAAACATTATGCCCAAACAGTAGAAATGATAACAGGTCACATGGTGGAAAAAAAAATCAACTGGATGATTAGTTTGCATCATTTAAGCAAATGGTGGCAGTACAATATTATAATCTAGTTGGTTGCAGCGTCATAACGGTTTATGGTAATTGGTTTTCAATTTTTACACGCTTTATATTAGCTTCACTTGTATGTTTGTTTGTATGTTTGTAACCGACTCCTTTAGGCGTGATTTTGACTGGCTTTAAACGGTCAGAATTCGTTTAAACTTTGTAGATATATCGAGGACCGATGACAATACACTAATTAAAAAAAAAAAAAAATAGTTTAAAAAAACTAAAAAACACGCTTTCTATGGAAACAAACTAAAAAATCCACCAAACGCTTTTTTTTTTCAAATTTATTTTCTATAAATTTGAAAAAAAAGGCGTTTGGTGCCTGTTGTCAATAGTAAAAAGCACCAGTAAAAAGCGTGTTTTTTAGTTTTTTAAAACTATAATTTTTTATCGTATATATATCTATGTTGTAGAATAATCTTAACTTTTCGACACATATTCAATACAATTTTTTATTATACTGAATATGTGTCGAAAAGTTAAGATTATTTTTTAAATTTAAATATTGTAGAAGAATATTTTTGACTTTAATTTCTATAACGTTAAAGTGTATAAAGAGGAACAAATGTAAAGTGAATAAGTAGTTTTAGTATTGATCAATTCTTTAATGTAAGTTTTATATACAAACGAAATTCAATGCATTTTATGAGGTTAAACTGATCTAAAATGCCAATTCTGCAGGGCAAAACTTAAGGGCGTCTTTGCTTGTAAATGAACTTAATTGTGTTGCTCATGAAAGGGGTTTGGGACTGTTACTCCTTAATACAGGTTATTCCATAACCTAGCTAGGAGGACAGCGCTTTAACCACTGATTGTATGCACTATCTTCATTAATTTCTGTATCTATGTACTACAATTACCTTACGAAATAAAAATATTATTATATTATTATTATATTATTATTATATATTATTCTATCCCCCATTGAAAAATCTTGACTGAAGATCCAACCTCATTTTCAATAGCAATGTCGTAGGTTAGAACACGCATTAAAGGGCTAAGGGTTACGACCCTTAACCCTTTAATGTATTTCTTGAATTCCGTCAAAATTACCAAGTTGTTAAAACTATGAAGAAGACTTCTGATGCTCCTAACTTTACTAAAACGTGTTAGCATGTTATTGATCGCACTATTTGCGTCTGGATTTAACTAAAAGAGTTGCTTGCGGGAATGGAACGATCATTTATCACTGTGATTAATTCTTTTGTCCTTCATAAATATGTACATTAACAAAGACGGAGTTTCATAATTACTTGTCTCAGGTTTATCAAAATATCCCAGTAATAAATCTCTTACGTAGTAATAAATACATATCATATCATTCGTGTGAGCGGTGTCATAAGAGCCGACTAAGAGAAAAAACTACGCAGAACAACAGCACTGCAGAGAGAAGGAAAATTTGACACAAACCCTATACCAACCCGTCTGACCGGCGTGGTATAGTAGGCCAAAACCTCCTTTCTAAGGAGAGGCTTATGTCCAGCAGTGGACTATTAAAGGCTGTTGATGATGATGATCATATTATTCAAAACATAGTATTTAGATTTCTCTTAGAGCTTAAAATTTCCATAGCCGATTAGAATTACATGTATGTAAGTCTGACCTATTCAAGTTATTGCTTACATCCGCCAATTCATCTATAAAAAACAGTATTTTTTTTCTACCATTGCCTTGCTTTCTTTCTATTTACCTGCCTTTCAATAAACTTCTGACTAGCCCATCTTATCGTTGACGGAGCAAGTTAATTATAATGGACTTTAATTTGCATCTTTACACAATGCAATGGGCTCAGGCTGTTTTAAAAGATCCTGACAATCGACGATTCGGTAGGTTCAGTCTAAAAGGAGATCCTGATACCGAAGTGCTCCTATCCAGAGTTGAGAACAGTATTCAATATTCGGACTCACACCTATAAAGTTGTTTGTGATGGACAGGGGTTAAGTTTTGTGTAATAAGATTTAGAGATTGACGATTCATTTCTTGTACTTTATTTTGATCAAATGAAAATAGAGTTGGATTTTATTACCGAAAATAAAATTGAAAACAATATTTACGTAACAACCAAGTTAAGTAAAAGTATCGAATAGTTTAAATTTAAATGTCTTTTATAAACTGCTCAGTATTTTATTTAATACAATAAAATTATCCAATACAATAATTCTGTGCAGTTCTGCTAAAGTTCAGACGGCACGTAATTTCTAAATATTTCTCCCAAGAATCAATATCGTACAATGTATTACGCCGATTTGCACATATACTAAAATAGAGCTGACGCATAACTTATGAATGAGTAAAAAATCGTTCCTTATGTAGAGCACTTAAAAGCGTATCAATCAATTCTGACTACGGCAGCACTCGCATCATACATTATCAAAGGCGTTACTTGGACGTCTTCCATTCGGTGATATAGATTTGTTCTAGATGTCGCTTTACTTGTTAAGAATTAGATCAAATAATTTCGATTTGAATTACAGTTACGCGTCGAAAGCTTTCTATAATTACAAAGAAACAAATAATACTGTGGATGACGAAATGTCAGGGTTTATCGTAAAAATATGAGTCGTTGAAATTGACAGGCACTTTCAATTGTTTTTAAAGTATTAGAAATAGATTTAGTCTGATTTCTTTTATGGCTGGCTGCCTGCCCGTCGCTGATGTTCCTTGGGAATGTAAATGTAATCGTATTTCGATAAAGGAAAAAGGTGAATTAGGGCTATAAAAAAGGGATATGATGACATGAGGGGCAAACGAGTAGACGGTCACCTTATAGTAGATGGTAGCGATGCTTTGGCACAAACGGGCCAGCTCGGCTGGAGTAACACTACGGCCTTACAGAAAACCACCATTGTTGTATAGTTCTATCGTAGACTATAACCGGGTGTGTGAGTTGGACTCAAACGCACTCATAACTTTTGAATTTCAAGGGTCCAAGGGTGGTGGTAGACACTTACCATCGGATGACCTGTCTCTTTGTTTGTCTCCTATGCCATAAAAAAACCTTTAATATCAACCATTAGGTTTTCTTTTTTTTTTAAGGGCAACTTCCACACTAAATCCTGTATCGTGGGAGACTTTACAAACATAAATGAAACGGACACAAAGAACACTTAGACTCAGACCAACAATTTATGGATCACCCAAAGTGTTATGCTCACAAAAAGTGCAATAGAAATCAGCGAGGTGACCGCTTACGCTACAACGCCATCCGTGCAGTCAATGCTGAATCTTACCCAGTTTCAGTACCGTGCAGAAAATTATCAGTAATACATCACATCGCGTGATAAACTTTGTAATTAGCATCGCCTGTTGTAAAATTCCCAAGAAACAAAGAATTAATAAATTATACTGCAATGTCCAGTTCTGTTTTAAATAATAATTATCATTAATGTCACACCCTCGATATAATGTTATATCTCTCATCTCTAGTTTTAAGACATAAGTTACTGTTCCTATGCACATATACATTATTATCATTATAGCCAAAAACATAAGTCTTGTTTAAGGTGGAGTTTGAGTAAAATCATCTGGTTACGGTCACCATGGGTGAGCTGAACCATAGCAGTCGTATTAGTCATGCTCGTGAATAAGTTTTAGGGCTTCATATTGTCTATCTCTGTCTCCATAAATCTACCAGAAATAGCATGAGGAACTTATATCAAATCTCACAGTACAAACCATAAGTTTTCGGTGTATTATTTTCTGTCGGATCAAGTAACTTTAATTCTTCGTAGTTCCAAAATTCCTTGCAAAGTTAACTTTACTTTCTTCAAACTCCACATGACCCTTATGTTCTGCTTGATAAAGTCTAAAGTCATTTAGATCATACAATTTAACATTTACCATTCACTTAATGCCCTGAATGCTATCTCGAGAACGTATACTCTAGCTGTTAGCAAATGCCAGCGATTTGGGTGTTTAAAGATCGGCCCTGATCTCGCCGTAACATTTGATGCGAATAGTATTTGCCTTGTCGCTTGTGTTACATGTGAAACGGGGAGAAAACGATGTCAATAACGTGACATCTATAGTAATGAGCCTATTTGGATTTAGATGCATGTATTTAGATTTTAATCCATCTAGCTGTTTAGTTGATTTAAATTTTGAATAGAAGTACATTACACAATACGAAATATATTTTTTTATTTCTACAAGTGTGTTTTCCCCAATTCATCCCGAGGGTGTCGTAAGAGCCGACTAAGGGTACAAACTAAGCAGGACAACAGCACTGCAAAGAGAAGGAAAACTTGAAACAAACCCTATACCAACCCGTCTGGCCAGCGTGGTATAGTAGGCCAAAACCTCCTTTCTAAGGAGAGGCTTATGTCCAGCAGTGGACTAGTATAGGCTGTGGATGTGATGATGTGATGATTTCTGCAAGTGTCATTCGAGTATCTAGTACATAGTAAAAGCATGTAAAATGAAAAGGGAGAAAAAGGTAGAGTTAAATTAGAAAAACAAGGTTTTTTTTAAATGACAGCTCCCGCATTAGGAATATATCCTGTGTCGCGGAGGACAGACACAAAGAAGACCCAGACCCAGAATAACAATTTGTGGCTCACACAAAGTGTCGTCCTATGTGGGAATCAGACTCACAACACTCAGCGTTGTAGTAAACGGCGTGGCGACCACTTAAACCACTACGTTATCCATGCAGTACAAATGCTTTTAATGCTTACCAATATTATAAATGCGAAAGTAACTGTGCTACATTCACGGCTAAACCGTGGAACTGATTTTAATGAAGTTTTGCATGGAGAAACTTTGATAAGAAAGGACAGACATAGGCTACCTTTTACCGTGATAACCAACAGCAAATAGCTAGAATTGATATAAATATACCTATAGATAATTATATAACTTTATTCGCACTCAGTTTTATAAAAAATACGTA